AGGCCTTTGGCGGACAGCCTCAGTCACTCTGCTGCCAACATCCACAATATCTGCAGTGCCATTAAAGGGAGGGGATAATCAATCACCAGATGCCCGAGGCGACGGAGATGTTCCCATACCTGACACCTTTAAAAGCACAGCTATATTGTAAGGGATCCAAACTTGTCACAGCAAAGCAGAATCCAGAGGAAATAAACATTCTGCGTGGATCCTTTCCTCACTCAGAGGGAAATCTTACATCGAGTCGTAGAAGTGTGGAAGAAGTAAATCAAGCTTCTGTCATAGAAAATAAATTCCTCCGAAGATTTCTGAGAAGTTTCTGCTTCAGCCTTTCGACATCAATCATGTTTGAAACATCCCTCGGAGTCATTCATCACTCACCTGCTTCCTGTACTGACCTCAGATCAGCCTCAGGAAGGAGAACAGGTAATGAACCATCAACCCTAAAGAAACGTTACAATCAGATTTTCATCATAAATATTTAGCAGTTCACATGAATTATTGGTGTCGTTCCCTGAGCGCTTCAACTTCTTGAGAACCATCATCTCAGAGCAGCGTCTTCGTCCTCTAGATCTACTGTCCTGCGGCTTCTAGATCATAGATGTCAAACTCCCGTCCTCCAATGATTGGAGGACGGGAGTTTGACACATGTGCTCTAGATGCACTGAGCTTCTCGCTCCATCTCTAAGGCAGAACCCAGACGGCCTGAGAAGGAAACTCACTCTGAGATCTATTCAGTCACTGCCTAGAACAGTGACTGATGTTTTGCTCAAATACGATTTTTAGTTCAAATACCTGTTTGATGCAACTGTAATCAGACTTTGCTGTTTATGGTCCCAAAGCGCTTTGAAAAACTATTGGATATGAATCTGAATTACAACCAAGATGTGGCACAAATCAAAGTATCCCGGACACTGGAAAAACGTTGCTTATGGGTCACATTTGTCTGTTGTGTGACCATAATAATAGACAAGGGTAGCAACATATGGTGACCAGTAAGTGGGAAGTTTCACCTTTAGGCTCAGATCTCTCTTTCCCTTGACAGACCGATACAGAGCTGCTCTCTGCGTTTCTCTCATTCATGAACAAAACCTGGAAATACCTGAACTCCTCTGCTTGGGGCTGCTCTGTCACCAATGCGACAGCATCAAGATGTGAAAACTGTCCAAGAACACAATTCCAAGCCACATTCATGCATCAGACTGATGATGTTTGCAGGAAGATTAAACCGCCTCCCTGAATGGTCGAGCTCCCTCCCTCTCTAATCTATGTGTGTCCTGCAACACGCATGAATCAGATGAGTGGTTAATGTCCAGACCTTTGCTAAACTTGGCTGAATTCGGCCTTTAGGTTTTCAGACTTTCTGCTTCACAAAGACTCAGAAACCAGAGAGCAGTGAACAGAGGCAGTGGGACACATTGGAGGAGCATTTTGACGTGTCTGGCCAGCGCAAGAAGCTCAACAGCTTACTGCCTCCTTAAGTGGATAAAACTATTTCAAAAGGGAAAGGCTTTCCCCCCACTCTTTTATCATTTTTGTTCTAAATGTGAGGCAAAATGGATGAACAAACTCATCTTTCACCGGGAGGAAGACGCTGTGAGTGAAATGGCTGATGGGAATTGGCAGATGAGGCTTTCAGGGGCCGTGTGTGTTTGAGCGCTCGTGTGCTGCATTGTCCTCGCTGAATGGAAGCTCAGCTACAATCCAACCACTAATTTACATAATGGAAGGGCTGCAGCGAATAAACAGCATGAGAAACCCAATCCAGCTTTCCAATCTAATCCAACTTTACGTAGCGACGATTACCAAATACTAGAGCGGACTGATGAATGTTTTCCGCTTCAGCAGGAAAACACTGTGATGCAAATAAGTTTATTTCAGTAAGGAGTTAAAGCTAAATGTTCCTCAGCTTTTCGATAAATATGTTTGATTTGTGTTTCATTTGAAAATCTGAAGCACAGATCAGCTCTCCTGGAGTCCATGAGGAAGAAAAGGGAGAAACCGAGGAATATGGCCTCAAATGTCAGAGCCGCAGGGCTTTTCCAGCGAAAGGGAAATTTCATGGAGCGTTACACACAGAAATGCGATGTAAAGAGCTGCTGTGGCTCATTTTCAGCATCACAAAGAGGCTGAGGCTACTCTAGATGATGAAGTCTATGCCAGTCTTTGGTAGCGCTCCGCTCCTCTGCACAGGCCCCGGTTTGTGGGGCAGATGTGATTTAGATGCCCCCACCCTGAGAAGCAGGAGTCCTCCCTTTCTGCAGATTGCCCAGCATATGGCCTGATTGTAAAAATACAGTGGAAACAAAACAAGAAGGGGCCTGGTTTCTACACAAATGTGCTCGAAGCTGTTTTTCTTCCAGTGATCACAGGTTCAGGCTCAAAACAAGGATCGTTTTGAAGCCTTTGTCATCCACAAAGAGGCCAAAATTAAGAATTAGAGTACTGAAGGTTAACATGAACAAGGCATTTATAATTTTTTTTGTTATGTTCATTTCCATGAAGAAATAAAGAATATTGTTTTAAAAAGCCTGAAAGCAAAAAATTGAGCACAGGACCACTAAGAATGATTTCACAGCAGGTTTCATGTCACTGCCTGACAACATGTCCTCTGAAGACAAAAGACTTGAACGCAAAGTTGGAGAGCTTGAAATTTACAATTTCAAGGAAAATGTATATGTTAGCAAAGAATGAATGCTTAAAATAAGGATGGAAAAATGCATCTTTAGCTCTTTAATGAAGCTAAACATGCAGGAGAGTCATGTGAAGAGAAGACTGAATAATTTAATACAATGTTTAGACATCAGCAGATGTCTGAACTTTGGTGTCAGTGAAAAAAACAATAATTTTTCTGTCAACAGCTAAAGACAGGGACAGACTTTATTAATGTCATCGTCCATACGTTGTAGTACCTTTCTGTTTGACTCCAAATACGCTTTTCTTTCAAAATGTGTTTTTAATATTATTTATCTGCTTTGAAAACAAGAGAGACCAACTGTGATTTAGATGTGTTTTCAGCAATAAAATATGACAAAGACGATGAAAAGTATTATCTTTGAACCTCACATATTCTTTTGTTATTTGGTCACTCTTAAATGTTACACATCAAACAAGTTTTAATATTAAAGAAAATACAAAGTGCCTTCTTTTGTTAAATCAGAAATTAGCTGTTATTAACCCTACATATACTTATGGGTCAGTTTCCCTGTTGACTGTTACCTTCACAATAACAAAAACATCACATAGAAAACTTGTCTGACCATATGAAGTAAACTGAAAATACACAAACACTTTTACATCACTTATAAGCAGCTTCAGCTTATAAGTGATGCATTACGACCTGCGGCCGAATTTCACAGCAGCAGAGGAGATGACAGCATTCAATGTGAGCATGAAACCTCTGCTATGTGATCCTGAGCGGTCTGTGTGGTGTGAACACTAAGCCACACCGTAAGCCCCCCATGCCGGTTCTGAGTAAACACCGGAGCAGAAACAGATACGGTCACTTCCAGAGAACAATGCGCTTGCAGTCAACAAGAGAAGATAAAAACAGGCTCTGTCAACGGCACAAATTTTGGAAACACCGAGGTGAGATAAAAATCCTCAGATCCTCCCAGACAAAGAGAATGAAGCAACATTATTCAAGTTTCACAGGTGCAGAGATTTCCTGCCAGTTTCTTATGAGGAAAAATGAAAATCAACTTCAAATTTCCAGCATTCAGAGGAATATGCAGGACATGTTCCAGATATATAATATTCTTTCAGTTTATAGTTTGTGTGGAACTGTTGACATCACTGCTGATTTCATTCTGCTCCCATTTCACCGTTAAACCTGCAACTCAGCCATTTTCTTTGATGAGGCTCAAAAGAAACACGAGAAAAACCTGAAATTAAATGATCAATGCTGAGCATTGAAACTGACAATGATTACGATTGAATTGAATCAATCTTCACTCTAGTTTCTATTATTAAAATGTCTAAATCACTCCTCACAGTGTTTTATGTTTGTGGCAATGAAACTGCAACAAGTTGATATTTTGTGCCAGTCTACTTTGAACAGAGCAATATGACGAGTTTTATCAGCGCAGCTTTGAAAGACCCAATTTCTCTGCATAAGGCCGGAGTGACTCACTCTGACCCTGAAGGGCCGATGAACTGCAGGTTTTAGATGTGGCCTTGCTCTCACACAGCTGATTTAAATGACTAAATTACATCCCCAACAAATCTTCAAGTTCTCCAGCACACTGGACATGTTTGATTCAGGTTTTTTGACCTGGTTGACATCTGAAGCTGCTTCTCCATGGATGTGGCTTTAACTGGTTCCACCCCAGGCAGATTTGTCTTCATTAGTTGATCCGTGTGGTTGTTCCCGATTTCATAAACACTTCAGGGGTGGTACAAGCCGCACTGAGCCATTTATCACGTGCGAGCCATTTGATTGACAGCAGACTCCGTCTGTTGATTGGCCCATGATTTATGGCACTGGAAACTCCAAACAACAACATCTAAGCCACCGCAGTGGACCGACGGACACGGCGTCTGCTATCGAGAGCCGCTCAGTGTGGAGGAGCGTAATTATGAGCAGCGCCAGGAACAGATGCGTCAACTTTTGGAAACTGTGATTTAGCAGCGATGCAAGCAGCACATCTCTGAGAAGAAACAACGAACTGAGAAACAGTGAGAACTGGTTCAGTTCTAGAGTGAGACAATAGAGAAATGGGTCAGAACATGTAGGACACCGACCTTAACCCCTACTTTGGGAACCACTGTTTTAAGGCTACTGTTGTAACAGACGGAGGGTCAAGAGGTTATTATCAGATAACCAAACTCTATTAATTTTGGTGGAAAATTGCCTTCATTTGGGGATGTTCAGTCAGAATCCAATCAGAAAAACTAGAAGGAGACTAAGAAACTTCTTCTTCTGTTAACTATGGTTTGAGCACATGCAGGAAGGAGGTTTTAGTTTATCTGTTTGGGTGGATTGTTGTTGGCCGTCTTACTGAGCAGCTGGACTCCGCGGGTCAGACCGTAAACATCAATGAGGGCCCAGAGCGGCTCCGCCGTCCGAACTCCGCTGAAGAACAGCATGGGACTGGACTCGTTAATGCGGTAGAAGACCCTGCCCTTCTTGTCGACCCAGAAGGCGATGATGTTTCCCTCGTTGGCAAACTCTTCGGGCAGGGCTTTGGCCCAGAAGCCGCTCTGGGACACCAGATCGGGACAGGCGTACTTCGGCAGGTTCTCGGGGTTTATCCTGGAGGGGTCTTTGGAGGTGAAGCCCAGACGCAGAGCTCCACTCCAGCAGCACTGCTTTTTAGTGATCTGAAAGGAGAATAACATTCACTTTTACTGACGTCATTTATAAAAAGGGAGCTCATAGCAAATAGCTTTAAAAGAGGTCAGGAAGTACCTTGAGGCGGACTTGCTCGTACAGCGCGATGGGCCTGTTGCTGAAGGTGATGGCGTTGCAGCTGGCCTGTCTCTTGACGGTCTTCTGGGCCAGGTCCATGACTATTTGGGATCCCTTGGTGTTTGGATGGAAAAGGAGCGGCTGACCGGGAAAGGTCCGCCGACGCTGCCGCACTGGATGGGACCTCTTGGGTTTGTGGTGACATCGGTGCGACGTGGACGGGAACGGGCCAAGGGAGTCTGAGAACACAAACAGAACATGAACAATGAACATTAGGCTGTCAAAGTTTGTTTTTACTTTGGAATGTTTCACAAATACAAACAAACTCCCACATCTTTCAGTTTTTACAAATAAAAATGCGTTTGAAAACAAGCTCCTCTGTTTAACAACTGAACAAACAAACTGACAATTGAGCATAAAATGTAACATATTTCATCTACTTTAAAGGTTTTATTTGACCAAAATTGTCATTTTCCAAAGATTTTTGAATTTTGATCATTTCCATGTTGGTTTATTTATGCTCAATAGGTCTCAACATATTAGTTTAATCCTTTGTAGTTTATTTTTATGCTTTGTGAATTCATTTTTTGAATAATCAGTGTTTTTTTGTCTGCTTGGTTTCTTGATGAGTCGTATTTCATCGTCCTTTGTTTTAAATAGTTTTCCCTGTTTTCCTCCAGCAGCAGCTGTTCCACATCACCTCTGATTATCTGATTGAGGCTTTTTGTTTTTAATTGTTTCTTTGCTCCACTTCCTGATAACCTTGTTTCAAGATCTGTAAGTTTTCCTATTTTCGTAAACCTCCAGCAGGCGTTTCTCAACTGGCTTTCTAAAAATAACAGACATGTCATTTCTGCATGAAAAATAAAAATGTTTTCTTTGCAAACCCTTATAATTGAGCTTTTTAATCAAGTGCAAGCATAGAAAAAGTCTGTGTGTTGTGGCGTGGAAGATGCAGCGCTCATGCATTAGTTAGGAGCAACATGCACTGGGGCCGATTTTTACTGAAATGCAAAATTAACTTCTAGAACTGAACTCAGGAGAAAACTGTGATTTCTTCCTGGAAGTTTAAACGTCTCCCTGAAAGTTTTATTATTATGACTTTTCAATCAATCCTGTAGGCTAGCATTAGAAACATTGTGTGGATTCAATCCAGGCTTGATTTCCTTATTACAGAACTAGATCTTAAGGTTTGGCTCATTTTTAACAATATTTGTAATGAGCAAAGGAACATTTATAAAAATGTTAAGTGTTAAATCTGAGAGAAGGAACCACAAAGCCACTAAATCTGTATTTGCAAATCGTGGACGAGTATCGCTTTGTTTCCACGGTCAGTGAAAACCACATATTATTGGGAAGCAATCAAAGTTGAGGTTTTAATATTGCGATGCTGTTTAAAAGTGGAACTTTGCCACAGTAAGGCTACCTGGTAGAAATTACACACAAATAAAGAAAATAGATGTGATAATCATAAAATCATTGTGATTTAATGTGGGCAAAATCTGGGTATGCAGGGCAGCTTCAGAGCCCCAAACAAAAACCCAAAACTCTCATTTGACTCAATCCAAGTACAAAAATGAAACAATTATATTCAAAGTTCTCCCACTGCTTTGTTGGATTATAGGCCTATTCAGAGCTACCATCATCCTGTTTTATCTCCTTTCTGATTGGCTCATTTCTGTGTGGAAAATAGTTTTTTTCAGGTTTGAGATTAACATGCTGTTGAACTTGGATCCCATAAAGCAGTCTTTTTTCTTTTTCCCATTCCAGTGCATGTTTGGATAACCATCTATGGAAAGAAGAAAATGTGGATTATAAATCAGAAAGATCCAGTGAAAGATAATATGTTTCTTCCTTTATTGAAGTGTTAAAGAGAAAGCCGGGGCGTTATTCTCTCCTCTCAGCCGCTTGCCTACAAAAACACGGCTGCAGTAGAAAGAGTCGAGGTGAAATTATGGTGAATGTTGTGTTTATGGTTGTGTGGATTCAATCCAGAATTGCTCTCCTTATCACAGAGAACTGCTAGATTTTAACAGAACAGCCCAGTGGTTGGGCAGATGTTTCTGTGGAGACCCGATAAGAACTCGGTGCCAACCGTCCCAGAATTCAGCTTGCTTTATGCCCTCTCCTCTTTGTCCAGTAATGACCCTTTGCACTTTCCCCCTCGTTACCATTTCTACAGTCCAATCTGGCGGCAAAATAATAATAATAATAATAAAAAACAGAAGACGCCGCTGAAGCCTTTTGTCTTAAGCAGAGCCAACTCTGAGCAGCATGCATGTGCTGAATGAGGCGGGGACACGTGGTGGCAGCGCGGGCAGATTGAGCTGAATGCATTAGCCGCCTCTAAAGAGGCGCAGCTGCTGTGGAGGAAAACAGGCTACGTGTGAATTCATGTTCCTTAGCAACCCCCTTGTATCTGAACAGCTCCCTCTGCAGCCATCAGTTGGGACGCAGATGCCTTTTGTTTACTCACATATATATTTATAGACCGAGAATCTGGTCATCTGCAGCTTCTCTGTCTGTTTTGTCTGGAATCTGATCAACATCACTTTACAGAAACATCTCCCTTAATAACTTTAATGCTCCATTTTAATCAACCTTCTAAATGTCTGTGGCTGATATATTCAGAATTACAAACAAAATTACAAGTGCACTAAAGAGCTCATATTAAACTTTTCTGCAGAGTTGAGTCTTGGTTTCCACAGTGGAGGTTCAGGTCTCAATGTGGGTTGTAAAATATCAAGTGAGTGGTCCTTAAAGGTTCATTTCCACTGTTCAGTCCGCTGTAATCGTGTCCTCAGAACATCCGGTTTGATTGGAGGTGTGAACGTAACTGAAGCGACGGGTGTTTAAAGTGATCCACGATTAGTTGAAGATGTCGGCCTGAATATGTTAAAATGTTACTATTAACTAAAACCGTGCTGTTTGTGACACGTCAAGAGTCAATGACTTAAAAAAATGCATATCTTATTCTATATTTTTCACCCTTAGAGGTTGTAATTTTTTCACCGGTGCAATGCATGTTGGGTTTTTAAAATCTGTTCTGTACCGGGATCTACAGAGTAAACACAGGAAGTTTGACGTTACCAGAGTTATTGTTTGTTTGGTGTAAATTTAGACAATGTCTCGCTGTGTGTAGGCTGTAATTAAAAAGAAATCAAATAAATAGTTATTTATTTTATGGTGAATCTGGATCATGTCCCACTGGGGAAAAAAGAAATGAGAAAAAACCAGCAAACTTCCAAAGGACCCTCAGTTTCTCAACTCAAAGAGAGAAAAGGCTCAAAGTGACGATTTGCATGACGATTATCCAACGAAAATGGAATTTTCTATTAACATATTTACATTCTAAGTCCAGTCTTTCTTTACACAGTAATGTAAGCATAGAAAGATGCAATGCCCCCACCACGCCACTAGTTGGTGCTACATTCTTTGAAACTAAGTGTGGAGGCGTAAAAAAACCTGGAATTGTTGTGGCACCTGTTGGCGTTGTCAGTAGTTTATGTCTGTTATGTCTGTGGATTGTATGAACATGAGCTACAGATTCCTTAACAGAAAAGATCCATTTATTCTGTTCATGAGAAAACGGCACCAGTACGTTTTGGGGCCGTTGCACTCTGGAACCTGTTCTCAAACTGCCGTTGTCAGAAAAAACATTTGCTTTTCGTGTAAATGTACACTGCAAACACAACAATGCTAAAATTGTTGTTGTGGAAACAAGCTTTTCTCCAGAAGACTTTGACTCAAAACAAGCTAAAAACCAAATCACGTGTCGACAGTTTTTATCCACAGAGCCAGGCCTAAACCAACATTAAAAGTCGTCTTTATGAACTGATGTGATAATGTTGGTAACCAATTTAACAACGTTTTTGTGTGTTTTATTCTTTTTGTACTTTTAAACTGTAAACAATGTTTGGAGGTTGAATTTAAATCCTAACTTTCAAGTGATGAACTATGAATATCAACTGATTCAGTTTGATTCAGGTGAGTTTATAACTATTTTCACAGAGAACTGACTCAGCAGAACCAGACGGGTCAAACCTATTTTGATTCAAATAACAGGGTGAAACTCACACTGACATTTCTAAGAAATATGCAGCTCAGGGAAACAAAAAGCTAAAACTGGCATCACAGAGTCAGCTGTTCTGTAATGCAGGTAAATCATTTCCATTCATAACTTCTTAGTACTTACTTGGGTGTAACTTTCCAAGAAAAAGAGGCAAATAAAACCATTCAAGAAATAGAAGAAAAGACATAAAAGGTGGCAAAAATAGGATTTACAAAGAGTCTTACATAAATGATAAAGGAAAGAAAAACAATGTAGAAACTAAAATATCAAATTCAATCTATGCAAGTTTAGTGTGTTGCTAAATTAATTTTCAGATGAAAAATAACCTTTCAGAGAATAGGACTTGTTAGAGACTAGACTAAAACTACAGTTTGGTAGCTCAGAGAAAAACACCCCCATCCTGTTCAAAGTGCTGCTGCAGCTTCATTTGTCCCAACTTACGTTGTGAACCGGTCCTGCAGCAAAGTCTGCAGCTGAAGTCTGCAGCTGCATCGAACAGTTTGTTGAATCATTTTACACAGAAAATGATGTAATTGACAACAACACACCTCAAAGAAAGAAAAGTTTAAAAATATATACAAAATCTTTGTTAATATTTTCAAAATTACAAAGTAAATTAGTTTTTAGCATTAATTATGAAAACTTGAGAAAAACAGAACTTAAATGTTTCTTATTATATTAACAGTTTTTTTCCAGAAATTGAAGGCAGAATTAATTTAGTGGAGAATCAGAGAAAAAATACATGAACTGAACTTTTGAATACAGAAAACACAGGATGAAAACATGAAAAAATTATGACAACATCTCAGGAGCTCTGTGAAGAATTCAAAGCGTCTTGTTATTTAAACTGATTGTAAGAGAAGAGAGACTTTTTCCATGCCACATTTAAAATGTTTTACAGTGTTTTTTCACCTGGGTGTTTTTACTGTCAAATGATTTTCTATCGTTCTCAGGTACTTAAATTGTTCAGACACTCAAACCAGATTTCCTAGTTTGCTTTTGCAAGTTATGTGTAGCGACAAGCCAGCACCACCTAGCAGAAGCGCCGCCTCCGGGCTCTGAGTCAATCTGTGTTAAAATGGTTTCTTTCTGCTGGAAGAGGTTCTTGTTTCAGAGATTTGACCTCCAACCAGCTTTAACTAGTTTGGTCCAGGTCATTTCAAACGG